TGCGGGTGACAAAGCACTGGAACAGGCTGCCCAGAGAGGTTGTGGAGTCTCCTTCTTTGGAGATCTTTAAAACCCGCTTGGATGCAGCCCTGTGCCACGTGCTCTAGGTGACCCTGCGTGAGCAGGGGGGTTGGACTCGATGACCTCTGAGGTCCCTTCCAACCTTCGGCATTCTATGATTCTATGATTTGGGTGCTACCTGAGCATAAGCTTAAGCGGAGTGTCACAGAACCCACCTGGCAGGAGAGAAAGGCTGTCGTTTAAGGGTAAACCTCAAAGTCACATTGTGTCTCACTAGGTGCCAGGAGAGCACAAAGCAGGTTAGGAACGGAGGCCTTGCTGGCTGGCAGTGGATGCTATTTGTGTCATAAGTAGCCTTGTGTAGCTGAACGTGTCAAAGCTGTATTCCTGCTTGACAGACCCTGACAGCCACACGGGAGCGAGAACAACAGCGAACTCCCCCCGGTGAGAATATTATATCCTTGGCAGTAGAGGACCTTGCCTGGAGGTTAATATGAGTCAGTCATAAGGGGCTTTTGTGTGTGTGCATGTACGTGTGTGTGTGCGAGCGTGAGCGCACACATGTGTGTGCTTTCACAGAGCATCCTGTCGGGGACCGATTTTCAATGATGCAAGTCTCCTCTAACTGATAACACTCTAAATAACAGGTGAGTGACTCCTGGCAAGGAGGAGATTGTCTGACCTCATTGTTTGCCTTTTTTCCCCCCTCTTTGTTCTTCACAAATAAAGGTTTTTTAATAAACTGAAAGGTCCTCCGCTCCTGCCTGATGATAAAATGAAAGGAACCAGTGAGGTATGGTACAACGTGGCAGCAAAAAAAGAGAAGCTCATCAGAAAATAACAAAGGTGCAAGTTAAAGATAAGGCAGCTGTCAGAGATTAATCCTGCTGGCCTGATTGTTTTCTTTAATACCAAGCCCTGCAATAGCAAGCGATAAGTTTGCTGAGTAATTTGGTTTTTGGTGAGGAAATAAAATTCAGGTAGGCCTCATAATTGATTTCCCTTTCTTTAGTTTTCTAAACATAAAAAAAAAAAAAAAAAAAAAAGAAAAAAAAGAAAAAAGAAAAAGGGCCCTCTGCTTTGACTACACTTTCCACTTTTCAAATATTCTCCAAGGCTACGAGCATCCCCCCAAGCAAGGTCTGCAGGAAGATAAGTCTGAGGGCACCCTCTCCTTCTCTAGCATCCTTATGGGAATGCATTTGTTTGCTTCTAAATTGCAATTGCATTACTTGAGCATGCTCAACCTGAGGTTGCCTTCATCTTACTTTTCGAAAAATGGGCAAAATGTGAAGTAGTGGAAAAAGCTAACTTAATAAGAAAGTCTGTGCCCTCAGGTCCTGGCTCACTGGGAGACCTGCCCATGTGCGTAAGGGTTCCTGCCAAGTCCATACCCAGGTTTCTTTCCAAGGACATGGAAGAGGGAAGAGAGGAGCAAGGTGTGCTGAGCGAGGCAGGAGCCCTGCAGGGCTTTGGGAAGGCCCACGGGATGTCCTTTCCAAAGCGAAATCCTGCTCCCTGCTCAAAAGCTGCTCCTTCTTCCTCACTCACTGGTGTGCACAGCCAGCCCGGTTAAGGCCGCAGACACAACGTGGGCAGCAACTGTGGGAGAAAACAAGGGGGGAAAAAAATTAAGAGAGGAAAACCTTTCCAAACAGGAGACTCCGTAGCAAGGAGGCAGCCCTGCACTCAAGTGAGAGGATGATCCTAAGAGAGAGGCAGCCCGTGTGTGCGTGCGCACGTGCCAGCGCGCGGTGCATGCGCGCATGAGGCAGCAGCAGCAGCAGCAGCAGCAGAGCGTTATTTATTGTGACAAAATGAACAGCCCCCAGGATGCTCATCCAGCAGCTAATTTCTCATCTTATCTATTATGTGAATGAGATGGGAAAACAGTTTCCTGTTTTTCACAGATATCGCTAACATGAAAGATACAGAATGAATTCCCTTGAAAGCCATGCAGTCAGATCCAGTCACAGACTCATTTATTTCAATGGAAGGAATTAATGCAGTCAGGGCTGCCCATTGATGGGAAACAAGTCTATAAAACTCTCTATAGAAGCCAATGTATTAAGTCCACCTTTAAAACTGACAAAGAGCTTAACGGGCACTTTCTCCACATCCATTTCCATGCACCCATGTACCTGCAGACACTCGTTTGTTCACATCGCACACACACAGGGCACGAACCTTGTCGCTTCCCTTATCCAGAAACGGGATTTCCAGGGTGTTGCAAGGCAGCCTCAGGGCTGCACAGAAGGGTAATCTGTACTACGGGCTTTTCCTCTATGAAGGAATCTGTTACTTCTGGAGAGCGTCTAAGGCTCTTATCAGGTGCAAAAGTAAGCAGTGACAAGTGCAATGAGCCGGCAGGTCTCAGCATTTTCTACACTCAGCACAATTTAGAGGCAGGCTTTGGAAAAAGTCCTGTGTGAGGGCAGACTGAGAGGCTCTCCAGTGCTGCAGAAGCTAGGCTTTTATTAATGAAGGCCTTGTTATGTATCTTCTAAAGCAGGCGCTCAGAGGAAAGCTCCAAAATCACTCTGTTTACATGTCCGCAGGGAGTTAGTGGCCACAGCCTTGCTGCAGCCACAGCCACAGTTACAGTTATGCAAGTCTGTCAAGGAGTAAAAAGTGAAATGACACTTGACCCTTCTCAGGCCATTTCGGCCTATTTAATGTTGTTTTTCACCTTTTTTTTTTTCTTCCAGCAGGGGGAGTATCTGGACTTAAATGCCACAGGGAAGAGACAACGTTTTCAAGGCAGAAATCAGCAAAAACAGCTCAGCCTAGCAATGAGCTTTCCGTGGTGGCGGCTTCCCTGCAAAGGGCAGCGGTGGCCCCTGTCCCTGCCACTGTCAGCAGCCCCGGAGGCTCTGCGGGATAACGGGACCACCAAGCAACAACCACAGGCACGCTGTGGCCACGGCAGCCCCGCGGGCAGGAGGAGGAAGAGAGAGAGGAATGGCAGAACTAACAGTGCAGTAGCTGCTGTAGGCACGGGGCGGATCCCTGCGGGTGACATGTCCCAGGCCTCCTGCTCCTGCTGCAGCATGCACTTAGATCCCTAGGCCTTATTGCCCGAAAAGCCAAGTCCGCCCAACTTCCATTACCCTCAGAAAGAGAGGAAACAGCTCTGAGAGCCAGGGGCCCTTGAAAGGTCATTTAAAATGATGGGTTTTGCTTCCTTTTCTTTCTGGAGGTGGGACAGCATGGAGCCTGAAGGTAACGTTCAAAGGAGGAATGGGAGTAATGGTGGTAAGGGAGGATCCGGCCTTCCTTAGGATGAGACACCCACTCGAAGGGTGGTCTCAGCCCTGTCCTCGGGGGGACGAGGGCTGAGCATGAAGAGCTCCCTTGACAGTATAAGGGCAGGTGGGGTGGGATGTGCGCTGCCACGTCACACTTCATGCCCAGATTCCTTTTCCTCAGCTAGATGACTATGGGAAATGGGCCATGATCTTTGCTCAGAGTGTACCCATCTGTTTTGTGTGGGTTTTTTTTGTCTCCTCAGCCTTTTTATTATGAGTTCTAGAGACAACAGATATCTTGCTGTCTGCTGTCAGCTGAAAGACAGCAGCTCTTACCCCGTACAGGGCAAGGGCATCGTCTGGCCTGCCACATGGAGGGAGCAGGCAAGATATTTGCCTGCTGCAGGGAGACAGGAGGTTGACCCACATGCCTTTGAAGAAGTGGTAGGACAAGCACAGTAGAGTCCTCTACCCCATGACTTTTCACTCCAAGCAGACAACAAATCCAGTCATTGGATTCTGTCTGGGAGTGTGAAAACAACCCATGGGAAGGGAGCGAGAGTAGGAAAGGTGGGCAGGGGAGGAAGGTAAAGCTGAAGAAGGTTAAAAGAAATGAGAAGGGACAATGCTGATACCACTAACACACAGTAAAGAGATGCTTCAGTTGCACTGCAGCAAGCCACTACTACAGGAGAAATGAAAATAAATACAGCCTCCAGCCCTAATGAAGAAAACTCCAGAGTGGGCTGAGACCTTAACTGATATAAATGAGGATCATTATCTTCACTCTACTCTTCTGCTCAGCACAGGGCAAGAAATGCTGTGGTGGGAGGAGGGTGCCAGGGGTGTGAAGCACAGGTCCCTTGACAAGGAGGCTCATGTGAAGGGTCAGGGGAAGCGCTTTGGGGGCTGGGGAACTTGTGTGGCCCATCTGCAGACCTCAGCTGTCCCAAGCTAATGGGGTTTGCCCCAGCCCTTGGTCTAGTCAAAAGTATCTGGGCTCGTACCGTAGCAGAAAGAAGAGTTGTTTGGGGATGCGGGTGACATTGTGCTGCCCCCACATCCATTCTTCTAGGTCACTGGCCACCTGGACAGCATTAGCAGCCCACCAGGGAGGCTTGCTCAGCTTCATGGTTTTCCTCACCTCTCCAGAACACAGCTAGGCTGGTACAGTCACTCTGTGCCATCCCAGGGAACATGGTGCAAGGAGCATAACGCAGAGAGCATGGGAATGTGGCCTCTCCTGGTGCACTCCATATCCACTTCCACAAGTTAATATATAATATCATAAACCTCATTCAGTTTGGGTGAGGCAAGTGGATACAATGTATAGGCAGGCAGCAACTTACACAATCACTGAGTATTTTACCCTAATAAAAAGAGCTGGAGCCCAGGTAGGGCAGAGGGAAAAAATAGACACAGTAAGACAAAGTCACCGTGGCATTAAATAAAATTCATAACAGAATGTTGTCTCATTTCTCTAGTGCCCATGCAAAATCTTCTCATATAGACTTGATGGAAGACATCTACCTCACATAAGCAGCTCTGCTGCAAGTTAGCTGAGGGGACAGCATTTTAGGTTTTATTTCTAATGAAAAACAGAAGATTTTAACTTAGTTAATATTTTTCATAAAGATGTCTATAAAAGTCCCATAATGAAATGGAATAAAACTTGTTTAGACATTTTCCTCTCACAACATGTTGGCCTTTGGAGGTCATATTTTGGAGTTTTGCAGTGAAATTTTAAAATCAGATGTCAAAACCTGTTTTAGCTGGCTCATATCAGTTTTCATATTGTCTGTGTTACTTATCAATTACATCAGGACAGTTCTGATAACTAACATCAGGGGATATCATACAATTATTATAATTAACAACTCCCAAATTAAATAATTCACCGGGCGGAATTAGTTCTGAAATGCTACAAGGCAAATTTCCAAAAGTGAAATTTCAGAGAAAATATTTAAACAAACATACTTGTAGTTCAGATAGGGTAGAAACAGCACACCCAATGAACTGAAAATTCAGTTTCAGCCATCTGTAGTGAAGGCTGGCATCTGAACACTGCTCCCAATCAAACTGGCAGCATGTTCACTTGCCTCTGAGGATGCAGGCTAGCACGTGCACAGGCTAGGAAGTCTCCTGCATGACCTCTCCCATTTTTTTTTTCCCTCTGTGGTGCTAGGAGAAAAGAATAAAGGAATGGGAAGGAGGTGATGGAAGATGGATAAGAGCTCCAGCAACTGAAATGTTAAAAAAATAAAAAAAAAAAATCAGTGTTTCATTGCGGTCCCTCACGCTGAGGTACAATATACACAGTGTGGCTGCTTGCATGCCAGAAAACCAATCCAGATGCTTATTTTCACCATTATTTTCCACCACAGTAAATGACTCATCCTTAATCTCAGCCAAACCTGGGGACAAGGGTTAACCTAGAGTTCGCATCAGGCTTTGTTTACATTCAATTTTCTCAGTAAGGTCAGACCAGAGAGTCCTGGGTTGGCTTGGCTTTTTTTTTTTAAATTTGCAACATTTGTATGGCTTTAACATGATTTCCTGAACTGCCGGGCAGATAGGTTAGCTATATCTAGACAGGTACATTGTGATTTTATTCAAGCTATTCTGTCAAATAAACTAATCGTGACCTGAAAGAACTTATTTCTCCTGGTCCAAGTAAAAGCAGCCTGCAATGCCACAGCAAGGATACAGGATCCAAAGGGGTTGTGATGAAGCCACCAAAACCTTCGTTGCTGTAAGTATTGCCTTGCTTCAGGAACGCAGGTTTCCTGGATGCACTGGCCCTGCCTCCTTTGCAAAAGCAGTCGAGGATGCTGCTCTCGCTCCCAGCGCGCGCACGTCCTCAGTGCTCGAGCAAAGCATTAGAGAGCGTGTTTCCCAGGCAATTTGCTGTAAGTGCTTGTACAAATCATATTTACCAGCACTTTCTGGAGCAGTTAACAGACTTTAAAGAACAGCCCTGTAAGTTCCCAGATAACTGGTATTAGGCACAGCTCTTTCCAGCTTGAAAGCTCAAAGCGACTCAAAACAGCAGGCTGAGAAAGGAGGGTTAGGAGCAGCTTTGCCCAAGCTCGGGAGGGGATGTGTTATCCCTCTGTCCCACTACGCTCTGGTTTTCAGCTGTGTCGCCTTGCAGGGTGCCAGCTGGTGGTTGGGTTCCTAATACTAAATTTCACTGCCAACACATTAAGAGTGCCTCAAGTGCATAAACCAGCAAAAAGGACATAGAAAGCATAGCTGCAACCAAAGCACATCCTGAACATGGTCCTCACCTCAGAAGTCCTCCTTGAATATGATTTTCATTTGCTTTAAGGTACAGGAAGATGACACTTTCAACAGGTATGCAACAATCATCTCCTAAAGGAAAATGAGAAGTTGGAATTGGCTCATTAAAACCAGTAGGTCCCACATTGCTATTTTATTTATTACTCTGCACAGTTCTTGGGGAAGAAGGGGGCAGGGTAATTTGCAAACATGCAAGAAGACCAGAACTCTGCCCTGAGGAGCTTTTTTTTTTTTTTTTTTTTTTTTTTTTAAGCTTAAATTAGGCAGCCCAAGCATAAACAAGCCTGGGTAACAAGAGTGTCTAGAATTTAAATACTAAATATTAGGAAAAAAAAAAAAAAGTAGTGCTTGAGGCCACAAGTCATCCTTTAATTGACAGCAGTTCAAAAGAAACCTTCCCAGGGGTAAGCCATTTCATAACTGCCTGCTGCGGGTGTCTCCTCCATCCCCCTGAAGCATCTGGCTCCAGCAACTGTTAGAGATAGAGAACTCCCGGGCTCTCCCTCATAAGGCTCAGGTGTGACAGCGAACAAGGATGCTCCCCAAAAACAGGGTGCTGGGAAACACAAGGGAAGACCAGAGTGAAGTCCGATCAACCGCAAAAGGCCGGGCAAGGAGGGCATGGCAGAGGGTCAGGGTGGGAAAGTCTGAGCTAGCCGTGAGTCAGGCACTGGATAAGGACACTGGAAAACTGGATTCCATCCCAGCCTTGACCTTGGACAAGTGCCTTGGTCTCCAGCTTGCCTGCTTGCACCCGCCAGTGGTGCCTGCCTTCGTCAGGCAGATATTGCTAAACTCTTCAGGGGAGCAAGTGGCTCTTGCCAGTTTGTGCAGCTCCGCTCGCAACAGGAGCCCGGTCTTCACTCAAGGCCGATGGGTTGCTGTAATGCAATAGAAAAAAAGAAAAAAAGTGCAAATTCTTGAAAATCAGGAACAACGTTCAAAGACAGACAACTGCAGCGAGTTCAAATGCGTGGCAGCTAAAGATCTGATTTCCAGTGTCACTACTAATTATTACATGCAAAAAAAATAAATAAAACACACACCACCAAACCAGGCTTTGAATGATCATACAGAATATCTGGATATGTTTCACTTATAACTAAAGACTGATAGCTGATATTTTATGCATTAAATATGCTCTCGTTGATTGAAAAAAATACACTTTGCAGTATTTTCCCTCTTTTTTTTTTTCCAGCAAAATTTGCCATGATTTAAAAAAAAAAAAAAAAATAGCACCAAAGCTACTACTGAGCATTTTTGCTCTCTGAAATATGGACCTTCAGTAAATTAAATATCACAAGAATCATTTTGCTAACAAATTTCATTAAAGGATGCTGTGGCCTGTTTCGCAAGAAATGAAAGAGACCATTCTGTACCCTGCACAATGAAAATAACTTTCAAAGTTCAAAATTTGATGAAGCTCTTTTCCCAATTTGAGGCCTGTTCTATTTTTCACATAGTGTTGACAAGGACTAGATGAGAAAGAAATTCAGTTTCCATCATCTATTCAGTCTCTGGCCGTTCTAATGACTAACGAGAGTGCCTGTTTCGATGGTGTTTTCTTGTTAAATGGAAGTGCATCCCATAGAAACAGAACTCAAAATTATCAAATCATTTCACAACCAACAGATGGTAACAGCTATATAAGCTGGTATTAAGCAGCAACGTGAAGGTAAAACCTGCTGGTAAAAATCCTGATCAAATTCCATATACTACACTCATCTTTTAAGATTTCCTCTCTAAAATATTCATGGCTGATTTTCTGTAAAAGATACCAGAGAAAGACCTCTTAATCAGAGAAAATCATTCTCTGTAGGCAGGGATTGAAATCAACTCTCTTTCCTTACATGCATTTTTTGGACAAATCTTTTTTTTTCCTCTCCCACAAAAAAAATAAATAAAAAAATAAAAAAATAAAGTATAGCAGTCTTTTATGATATTTTATCAAGACACCTGAAATTTAAGATCAGTGCATGCAGGGACAGATTCTGTGTGGAATTAACCTGTTGGTAATTCCCTTGGCTACCAACCTTTCTTATTCAGTGGGAAGAATTAAAAAAATATATATATAAATAAAAAAAATACAGCCTTGGAATATAATGCATTTATTTTTATTTTTTAAAAATCAGCGTGGAAATATGCTTCAGATTACAAACAGGCAGAGTCCCCCCTTGTGAGGAAGGGATGCTGCAGGACTAGCTGATCCCAGTGGCTTCCTCTAGCGCTGCCACATGAGGAACTGACAACATTGATCTGGACAGCTATTTGAAACTCAGCATAAAAAACAAGAGGTATTCAGGAGATAAAAAAAAAAGTCCCATTTTTCTGTCGCCTAGAAAAATCCTTTTGACATAACAAACTGCTGTTGTTCAACTGGTCGCTGCCTGCCTCGCGGTAATCCCCACCTCTTTGTGCATCAGGCTCTAAAACTGCTGAGCAAAATGTCACGCAAACACACCGATAAAGCCAGCTTACACCTCCTGCTGTGCTCTGCCTTGCAATTAAGTTCTTGGTTAGGAAATATATTAAAAAAAAATCTTTTTCAAGGTAAATTGAATTTCGTGTTGATAGGTCCCCCTAACTTAATTACCCAACACACAGAAACGCAGAAGCAGCAACAGGAAAAAGTTGAAAGATTCATTATAGTTTTTGAAATGCAGATGACTCCATTCCTCAACACAAGAAGGATTTCTCAGGATTGTACTGATGATTTATAAAGTCATTAGTTTCAAAGCAAACAAACCCAGGAAGCCTGGAAGGCTGCAGGGAGCAACATAAGTTGGGAACCCAAAATTTCTACAACCCACATTATGAATTCAGGCAACCAAAGGCACTGTTCTGTGCTGGTTTTGTGCCTATCAAGAGGGCTCCCCACTCCACGGCTCTCAGCCCTATCTCCTTCATCATCACTAAATTCACAGGGAAGAAAAAAAGAAAATCTGCTAAATGGAGACAAGCAGTTAGCATCCTCTCAAAGTCGTCCCCTGTTCCTCATAATCACTTGTCATCTCTAGAAAAGTTTCTTGAGCTGACCTTACCAGGACACTGCTCCCAAACTGCTACAGAGAAAAGGCAGAATTTGCAAATGCTTCTTCAAGTTAGCCTTTCTGGATATATAGATCCCTGGAAAAAGCACATAACGGATTAAAAGCACCCATTGCTCCATGCCACTCACCAGTGCTCATGGTGCTTCACTATCATATGTAAAAAAAAGCTTTCCTGCACACATAAAGTCCCCAAAATTTTGAGTTCAGGAAACTTTCATCTCAATTACCTTTCAAAATATCAGCATTTTTCAGTTCTATGCACAGCAACTCCCATATAGCTGTGGCATTCAAGCAGAGATGAGAGGGGTTAAGGTGGGAGGTGCTGATTGCAGCACTCAGGTGCATCTTATCAGCTGGACAATTGTCTTCATGTGGCATTTTTTTCCACCTCATCTTGCTAAAATAATTCCCCTGCCCCCCTTCCTAGGCTTTAACTTTCAGTACACTAACAGCAAGCCATGAAGAGCAAAAGTGTTGTGGAGAAAAAAAGAATATATACACACACACACACACTATATATATATATTTATGTATAAAATCATTATGCAAAAGAAAGCAAAAAACCAAGAACCAACGAAAACCAGACCCTGAGCTTTACAAAAAGCTGCATGTAACCTTTCTCTGTGGCTGGAGGAATTGAGAGAAACAAACATATTAGCCTTGGATTTCTGAGAAGTGAATCCATCTATGAGAAAGCCGCGGTCATTTACTTCTCGGTGTTCTCTCACTGCCCCTGCGAATACAGAGTGGCTGTTGTATCTCATTCCTTAGCTGTTTTATCTCATTCCTCATCAGCAACTCTGAAGATTATGTGTATGTATATATGCTTATACATATATACACGCATTTGTATACACACATATACCTTTTGATATCTAACCTGTTAACGGGGTGAAAATCTGTTCTTTGCTTTTAGGCACAGAAAGGAAATTTTCCCTGTATTTTTTACACAGACAGATAAAATAAATAAGCAGGAAAGATGAATACTTTTTTCTGTGTATCTGCCCAAAAGGAGGCAAGAAGGGGGAAATGGGGATCCTGCACTCTGTCCTTCTCCTTCTCCTTCTCCTTCTCCTTCTCCTTTTCCTTTTCCTTTTCCTTTTCCTTTTCCTTTTCCTTTTCCTTTTCCTTTTCCTTTTCCTTTTCCTTTTTTTTTTTTTCCTTTTCCTTTCTTTCTTGTTTTTTTCCAACTCTGGCTGCAAAACAATCGGCTTTTCCCGGGGCTGGGAATGTCTCCCCAAATCCTTGAGGGAGCACTGCCACCTACTGGGCAGGGCCCTGCATGGCGGTGCTATTGAGGAAAAAAAAAATACCCTTCTACTGCTCCTGGGTATCTGTGACAGGGCGAGAAGGAGCCTCTTGACCCAAAGGCAGCCCGAGTTCGTCCTCAGGGAAACGAGGCCCCGCGGGCAAAGGCGGGCAACCCCTCAGTGAGCCTGGGGCTCATTTGTTCATCATTTATTCATCCTCGGACTTTCCCCCAAGCAGAGCTGGTGGAGGAGCAATTCCAGCCCTCCGGGGAATACACGGAGGTCCTGAGGCTCCTGCGGCTGGGGGTGTTTGTGTCCCTTTCCTCTTCCTCCCTCCCTCCTGTTTCCCCTTCCTGGCATCCGTGGAGTGCAGGGCCCGAGGGCGGCCGCAGGGCGCTCCGCAGGCCGTGCAAGAAGAGCTCGGCGCCCAGGACAAGGTCAGGCCGGTGGCAGCTCCGCTCGAGCTCCCGCCGCTGCCGCATTGCAGGGATGCGCTCGGAGCGCTCGCTGGGAACTGGGATTTACGCCTGGCACTCCAGGCCTCTGTCTGGTGTAAGAGCAAAGGAGCAGGACTTGGAAAGTCAAGGGGAAAAAAAACAGTGGAGGAACAGGGTTGCAGGGAGGGAATTGTATTGTCCAACTTTTCAGTACACCCGTCCTATTCTATGACTGATTCCCTACACGGCCGCACGCCAAAGTGTGTACATCCCAATAGGATTTTTCTTTTTTTTTTTTCTTCTTTCAGTCAAATTACACTGCCCTTCCTCACGGTTACCGGCAGACCTTTTGCATCAGTACCAAGTGTGAGCTTGTTAGGCCGCAGGCGCGCGCCTGCCCTGGGACCCCATGGAGCAACGTTGATCCATGTGGCTCCCGGCATCCTAGTGGCTGCCCGAGAAGATGGACAGGGACCTCAGGGAGCTGAGGCCTGAACTACGGTCAATAAAAGCAAGAATTCTGGAGGGAGGAAAGAGAAAGAGAAAGAGAAAGAGAAAGAGAAAGAGAAAGAGAAAGAGAAAGAGAAAGAGAAAGAGAAAGAGAAAGAGAAAGAACTTTTTATAGAGTTGTTAATCATTTTTTCTTTTATTTTTTTAATAACTCCTTTCTCTGCTTACTCCTTCTCTTCCTTCCTTCCACTTGTGCACACTCCATAGCACTTGCCCTAATCCTAGCCCACAACCATTGCACCGATGCAGGCACCCAAGGGCAGAACATCCAAGGAAGAACTGAATTATTCCTCACTGAGCCTCCCTGCCAGCCCCAACAGCAGCCCACAGCCCAGAGCAGCCTGACCGTGTGCTGGCTGTGCCATGGGGAGGCCAGCGCAGAACCTCGCAGAGAGAAAGGGAGCTACAGTCATTATAAACGGGCCTTCATGGCAAGAACAGCAATGAGGAAGAAAAGGGAAAAAAAAAAAAAAAAAGCTTTCAGGGAGAAACAGAAAATAATGTTTTGCAATTACAGTGCACAGCTGCCGCCGCTCCGGCGCGTGCTGCACACAGGTGCAGCTATTACAGCAATGAATAACACTCACTAAAGGTGTCGTCCGTACGGGTACTAATACAAGGGCTGAAAAGGTATTTTCATTTGCAGCCTGATGTTGAGAAGAGAGAGGAAAAAAAACAAGTAGAAAGGTATCTTGCCACCTCGCAGGCTCTGGAGTGTCAGGTGAGCAGGTGGGCACCGGCAGAGATGCTCCTTATACTGTTGGATTGGGAAAAACCTAATGATTCACTGGGTAATATCTGAGTTAAGGCTGTTGCTAGCAGGAAAACAGGCTCTTTTTAAAAATATATATATTTTTTTCAGTTTTCTTGCTGTGAGGAGACCATTTTCAGAAGTTTCTTCCCTTTGTTTCGTTGAAAACACCTGAACTGAGGCAGAGCTGGTTGTTTGCCCACACCTTGGTTTGGCCCTCGAACCCTATCATGGTGGGCAAGGGTGCTTCTCACTGCAAGGAGAGTATCCCTTGGGAGCAGGCACTTTGCAGCCCACTGTTGCCAAAAACATAATCTTTCCAGACTGCTTTACATCCGTTCTTCTGTCCCAAGCAGGAGCTGTGAAAAACGTTTAGCAGGGAGCTTAGAAGGGTCAACAGGGAAAAGCAGCCAAGGGGCTACCCAATGCAGCCCAGCACCTCGATACATCTTTTACTCATCTATGGGCTGTGGAGCGTTTTTCCACCCATAGCAGAGATGCCTAAATGAGAAACATAAGCTCTCTGAGCCCAGGTTTCCCTTTTCATCCCAGGACCCATAGCAGCTGCCCAAGACACATGAGCATCCCCAGGTCACAAGTCCCTCGCCTGAGCACGTAACAGAAGCCTGTGTCACACTTGCAAGGACATCCTCATCCCGCTTCATCCCTGCCATTCCTGCTGAGCCTGGAGACAGTTAAGGGGACACAGAGCTCATGGCTGGGTTGCCATGCTCACATTTATCCAGCTTCTTGGCCACGTATTGAGCCCCTACTGAGTTTGGGGCTGCTACAGAAATAACTTAAAGCTAACATAAGAAAGTCAGTCCAAATTGCTGCAGGCCTTCACCTTGCAGTCCAGACGCAGACCAAGGCATTTTTTTTTTCTTTTGACCTTGCAGAGAATAACAAAAATGCTGTGCAATCAGTTATGGCAGTTTCGGGGCCTCTCGCACACTTTGCATGGGCTTTTGTGGACACACCAGCTGAGCACAGGGAAGTCAGTGCACAAGTGGGCAAAAATGTCTCTGCCCTGCAGACACTGTCCTGCCTCTGCCTCTCGTCACGCTGGGGGAGATGCTGGGGGACTTCAGACAGTGCCATGAACTTTCTGAAGAAACCGAGAAAATGGTTAAACAGGCGGCGCCGACGACAAGGCGGCTCTGGATTCCTGAACGGGCCCCAACTCACCAAGGTAGGCAGAACCAATGCCTTTTTATAGGCCCTAAAATTGAGGGAGGCATTCAAATTAATTTGAAGCGTCCCAGGAAGCTGGCACAATGAACACAAAAGCGGATGGATGCAGTGGCTGGCATGCCCGCGCGCTGGGAAAGCGCACAGGCAACGAGCTCCAGAAAAGCCGGAGCCCGGCAGCGAGCAAAGCAAAACTGGGCATCCTGCTCAAAGGAGGCTCCCAGCAAAGCAGCAGCCTGGAGGAAATTACAGTGATTACACAGGACCTCGAGTGGGCAGGGGACTGCAGAAGATTGCAGAAGGACCCAGGATTTGATTTCCCACTGCCCTTCGTCATCAACAGTCATTTTATACCGGAATAAAGAGGGGGTGCAATCGTAATAGCACAGGACAAGTGCATTTGATGATGCCTTTCTCTGTTTTTCCTGCTGCAAAGATCCCAGGGAAAGGGCGAATCAAGAAGATGAATCAGGAATCAATAAGATGCAAACCTGACTGCTGGGGCTGGGAGCCTGAGCCAGGACATGGCCCATAAAGAGCAGAGCAAGTGAAGGAAGGAAAGGGAAAGCACCAAGAAGAGCTACCACATTTACCTTTGGCTTGAACAAAATAAGAATAGACTAGGGACAATATCCAGCGAGCTACCACAGTAAAAGCGCATTTCTCCTCTTAGTTTATAGGTTTTACTGTGATCAATCAATCATCTCTTCTAATGCCAAAGACATACCTGATTAGACTATTAGATAGTAAAATATATATATAAATATATATATAAATATTTAAAAAAATCGGGAAAAAAAGTGCTAGCTAGACCAATCAGCAGCTTTCTTTGCAGTTATGTCAAAGTTTAGCAGCCTGTGAACTGTCTGAGCATTTGGGATACGTCCTGCAAGGTGCCACCACCACATTTCACGTAGTGTTTTCTCCAGGGAAAGGAGAAATTCTTGCTTATGATCCCTAGACAGCTCTCAATTGAATTAAGATGCTCCTCGCTCTGAGATTTACTGGGAAGGGCAATAAGTCTCTCTCAGATACGACTTCGCATCCTCAGATCCAATGAATATCAACTCAAAGCAGTGAAGACCTTTTCAATACTGAAAAAATAAGTTGATTTCAAAAAGGTCTGCATGATTTTGAGGGTT